ATAAAGTTTCGTACATGGCTCGAACTGCCAAACATGATTTTTTGGAAATTAATTAAACATTTTTTAAATCAATAATATATGTATTTCAATATTCAGTTACTTTAAATGTGTTTTAATGTGCAATAAAAATATTTAATTATTTATATGTGAAAATAATTCATAATAATTTGAAAAAATATTTTTTTAATATTTGAATTATTATAAAATAAACTATCTTGAATTTTTACTTAATCAATTTATTTTAAAATGAAATTTGCAAATATTAATTTCCAAATTGAAAATTAAAACTTTAAGTTTTTTAAAAAATTTTTGAATGATAATTTGAATTGGAAAATATTTCAAGAGTATATTACTGAAAGAATCACAATATTTATAAAAAATATTTTTTCTTTTTTCACCTTTTCATTAATTATATATTTATTTTCATTGGTCTTAACGATACTTAAAATGTCAAATTATAAATTTTTTGATATTTAGAACCTGTTTGAAAAAAATGATTTTATGGTTATTTTCTATACATACATTATTGTTGGTTATAAAATGACTCACTTCAGTGAGTTCATTTGTTTTTGAAACTGCACGTCAGCCATTTCAAATTTCGTAAAAAAAAATATTTCGAAAAAAATTTCTCCTTACTACCAGGATTGTTTAGCCCGCTTGAAACTTCTAGGATTGGTTCTTCATATTGGTAAGAATTTATGGTAAAAATTTGAGAGAAAAAAAAGTGGGGTTTTTGAGAAAATTGACTTTAATAATTTTTAGAAAATCATCTCCTGTTTTGTTAATTTTGAATCTTTTTGCAAATTTCAAATGGGATTTTAAAGAGGAATATACCCCCTACAAGATCCAAGAAAAATAATTTGATTGCATTCATTAGAAAAAAAATTACAGGCGAAACAATTTTTTTTCATTGTTCTTTCGAGTTTTACCACTCAAACTTCAAATGACCATAACTTTGTTAAACATAATTTTTATGAAAAATAAAAAAATACGTGTCTCTTTAGTTTTCATGTAGAATAACATATTTCATCGACAGAAAAATCTACAACCTGAAGGTGGTCGGCCTGTATGTTTTGAAATGGATTCAGCCAGAAGCAAATGAATTATAGATTATTGTTTATAAGAGTTTAACGTTTTGATTAAAAGATCTTTTCTATTTATGAAAAAATAAAATCAGTTTTTACTTTTTATTGAATATGCTAAAAGTAATAAATACTTCGATATTTTATATTGAGATTTCATTATCTTTGTGCATTTTTTCTTAAAAATTTTAAAACATAACCTATAATTCTAATTTTTAATTTCAGTTTAAGAAAAAAGTCGATTACAATATTTTTTGTACTTTATTAATTTAGAATATATTATCTTATTTTAAGAATAGTATATTCTAAATTTAAGAATAATTTTTATTAAAATATTCTAAAAAACAGAATTGCCAAGCAAATATATTTTCAATTTTAGAATAAATTGCATGTTTTGTATATAAATGAATACTTTAGGCATAAATTTTATTATTATTATTTTTTTATTATTATAACAATGGAATATGTATATTTTAACGAAATAAAATGACTCATTTATATATAGAGTTAAAATGACTAAGTAAATAAAATTGCATTTCAATGATGCAGTAATTTAGTAAAACTCATTAAATTTTTTTTTTCGCTAAATATTTGCAAAGAATAGTTTACAAACAATTATATTATTCTCGCGTTTTTTGCACCAAGATATTGCAACTCTTTTTTCACCGAGAGAGAATTAATTACTGTTATAAAACAAGCGAATTAGAACGCGCATTTTCCTTAAATGACAATGTTACATTTTTTTTCTCAATATATATATATATATATAGATCACTGTAACACCGAAAGTGTGAGATAGAAATACAAAACACAAAAAAAGAGAGCATGCACAATAGTAACAAATCATTTTCATCATCATAAAATATAGATGAGCATTGTTAAATATAGTATAATAAATTAGGAATAAATACACTGTATTTCTACCTCCATGAAGTTGGCGTCGACGCTCAGCGTCGAAAAATAATTTTACATGGGACCAAAAATATCAAATCATTTTTAAAAAGGTTTTGGGTCCACATAATACATTGAAAAGTATTTCTCAGATAATTTTGACCGAAAATTATAAACAAAAAAATAATTTGACATTTTTGTTCCTGTGAAAAACAATTTTTGGCGCTGAGCGTCGACGCCAACTTCATGGAGGTGTATTTCTGTACTAAATACTCAAAATTACATGATTTCAATAAATTATAATACATACATTTTAAAGAATGGATAATTGAAGAATTTATTTGCATTATAATTTATAGAAATGCTTTTTCTTTTTATAGAAATTATTTTCAATATTCTGTAAAATTTAATTATTGTCTGAAATTTCACACATTTTATTTTACTAACAATTAGTAAAATTTAACTAATTCTAAAGCAAAAAGTGCGAGTCACTAATTTAAATTAGTAAACATTTTTTCTAATTCAGATTTAGAGAATGTAATTCTTTTTAACAATTTTAATATTTCTTTAAAAATTTATTTATTTAAATTAAAAGTCTAAAATTAAAAAAAGAAAAACAAGGTATTCATTTCATGATCATTTAGCTTACTCATCATGATACACTTATATTCAAGATTATAAAAGAAGGATTACAACTAAAATAGCGATCAATTTTATAAATATATTGGTTAAATGTAAACTTTATATTACATAAATCGATTTGTTTTCATGTCAGGAATATACAATTTTGACAAGAATTAATAAAAATTTCTATATAAGAAAAAGTTATTTCAAAAAATACAAAAAAACTATTTTTTTTCAAAAAATAAAAATCAAAAACAGGATTTAATCTATAGATTTCAGTACAAAGCTCAAGTACGCAACGTTTATGATAAACGATTTTTAAAGAAATAAATTTTTAAAATGAAAAATTCTATAATTTTTTGCCTAAAAAATATTTCTTGTAATTTTTATTAATTAACAAATTATAAAAAAATATTTTTTAGACAAAAAATGATAAAAATTTTTTATTTTAAAAAGTTATTTCTTTGAAAATTGTTTATTAAAAACATTGCGTACTTCAGCTTCGTGATTTCCGTAAAATATGATGAACTTTGTATAGGTTAATCGATTCGTTTTAATGCAAGAAATAATTTTTTTTTTATCAAACAAGATTTAATTTACAATGAAAATTAAAAAAAATGGAAATTTAAGAATTTTCTTTTAGAAAGTACTTCTTTGAAAATTTTTCTTACATTAGTTCGATTATAATATTCTGAAATAATTCTCTTGATAACATTCTTAATATAGAATTATTTTTATTAAGGAATATTAATCAAATGAATTTAATATTTAATAACATTAGTTTTTCAAAGTAAAATATGTATTAACTAATTAAATTTAGTTAAAATAAAGAAATCGCTTTTTTCGACTTTTTTTGTACCTTAAAATCGTTCCGAAGCCTGTTATTGTTATTTAGAATGATTACACAGCCCCACAAAAAAAAAAAATTTTTTTTGTCCGGCGAACTAGACTAGTCATTTCTCACGTATTTTGGGTCGCTGAATCCGAATCCGGGGTCAGAATTCACAAGTTTGTTCGATTTTTCTTTCTAACCTCAAAAAACTTACTTTTTCTGTACATTTTGAGATAAAATAAAAAATCGTGAGCTAGTTTTGAAATTACGACCATGGTTTACAATTTAGAAGTTAAATTTACTTACCACTTAAATACATTCTTCAAATTAAAAATGGCGGATCCAATATGGCGGATATTTTACAAATTGTTCCGATTCGCTCGAAATTTGGTACTTGGGGTTTTTTTTGAGTCGCTGATTACGACTCTGGCGTCAGTTTAAAAAAATTCAAAATGACGGATCCAATATGGTGACGGTACCCTGGTTACAGAAAGAAGGTCAAATATATATTTTAAATGTGAAATATATAAGATTAGTCATTTTTTCTCGCATTTTTTCGAATCATATATTACAAGGCAGATTGTCTGTGTGACTATACTATGATACAATATAAGATTAGTAATCCTTGACTTCAAAACCTTTTGTGTGTTAATTTTTTCAGCGGATCATATCAATTTAAAAAAAATTCCATTCACTATGTAAGACTCCCTATTTTAAATTACAAAAATCTGAATTTTTAATTACAATCAACGATCAGAAAAACCCCCATGTACAACATTTACTTTTCTCATCAGTCATATTGGATCCGCAATTTTGAACAATTTGTAAAATATCCGCCATTTTTGGTCCGCCATTTTTAATTTGAAGAATGTATTTAAGTGGTGAGTAAATTTAACTTCTAAATTGTAATCCGTGGTCGTAATTTCAAAACTAGCTCACGATTTTTTATTTTCTCTCAAAATGTACAGAAAAAGTAAGTTTTTTAAGGTTAGAAAGAAAAAACGAACCAACTTGTGAATTCTGACCCCGGATTCGGATTCAGCAACCCAAAATACGTGAGAAATGACATAGTCTAGTTCGCCGGACAAAAAAATTTTTTTTTTTTTTTGTGGGGCTGTGTTATAATATTTTTAAATGTTTACTTTAAATAGGATAGGCCATTTTTTCTAACGAATTTATAATTTACCCCTTCAACATACGTTAAACTATTTATAGTCACGATAAATAATCATTATAATCCATAATCTTGAACGGTAATCTTAATCTGATTAAATCGTGCTAAATTGAGAACAGGGAAATAGAGATAATGAAGCTATATAAATCTATATAGTTCTCTATGTGTAAAGGCCCAGACTAAATCTGTGAATAGGATATATTTCACTTGCGGAACACATGGATAGGTGTCTTGAAATAGAAATAGAGCTGCAACTGTTATAGTACTACTAGAAAAGACCAATGCGGTCGATGTTAGAATGCCAATTCAATGGCCTACCCTTTATAAGGTTAACGCTATTCGCACATCGATGTGGATCACCTTGTCTCACTTCCGGTTTCTTTTTATTGTGTTACAGTGGCTTCAGCGTCAGCGTCTGCGGTCGTCAACACATCTTCAAGCCGGTTTCCGTTCAGGCTATGTGGTAAGTCACTTTTTCTTTTTTTTTTTTTTTTTAATTCTCATATCATCATATTATAATCGACATGGTCGCCAACAGCAAATACATTATTAAGACTATCGACGCATGTCTCTAAAATACGGATAAATTATCACTATAGCATCAATTAATATATAATTTTCAATTTAATTGGATTTTATATGAAAAATAATGTGCAACAAAAGTGATTCTTTTTTTTATTTCAATTTTATTATTTACATCTGACTAACAATTACATTCTCTTTTAATTTTATTTTCTTTAAATTACAATTTTATTTTAAACATAATTTTTTTTCGAAAATAAACTAAAGAATTATCTATTGAATATAAAATTTAAAATATAGATACTTATTTTTTTCAAATTTAATACAAAATATTTTTGAAAAAAATTTTGCACTATTTTCCATTTTCAACAATTATTTAAAGAATATTTTAAAATTAATTTACAATATTAATTTATTTACAATACAAATGAATCACATAAAAATGTAATTTCATTAAATAAACAATTTTTCAGCAAATTAATTTTTTTTCAATTCAAATATTTAAAAAATTAAAAATTCCTACATAGTAAAGATTTATCACAAAAAAAAAGTTGCTGAACACTTTTTAATTTTTAAATACATTTTTTAATTAATTTTGCGATATTAAAATTGCAATACTAAAGTTTTTATTTTTTTTTTTTATTTAATTAAACAATAAAAATAATTGGAACATAAATCGATAAATTTAAAAAAATATGTATTATGTTTGAAATCTGAAAAAAATAATATAAATTTCCTATGATGTTCAATTTTTAATTCTGTTTTTTAGGTTTAAAAAAAATTTGTTTATAATTCATTCACAACGAAATTGAGAAAATTCTTTTGAAAAAAAGACGAAAACAATAAAATTGATATAACTCTACACGTAATATAAAATATGATTAATTGAAATTTCACTGGTAATTCTTTTAAAAATGAATTTCTTCCACAATTTTTAATATTTTTCATAAACAACATTTTTTTTTACACTTTTCTTATAATTTCACAGGCACACAAAAAAAAAGTGGTTTAGCCGAGACACTACAGTAGTATATTCCCATGTATTTTTCGCCGCTGAATCCGAATCCGAAGTCGGAATAGTCAGATTGGCTCTTGTTTTTGAGTTATACTCAAAAAACGACTCAAAAAAACTAATTAAAATAAAAAAACAAAAAAAATTTTTAATGTCACTACACTAGTATATTTCCATGTATTTTTTCCCGCTGAATCCGAATTCGAAGCCAGAAATGTCAAATTAGCTCAAACTTTTGAGATAAACTCAAAAAACTGCTTAAAAAATTAGTTAAAATCAAAAAAACGAAAATTTTTTTGGCCAACACATTACACTAGTGCATTTCCATGTATTTTTTCCCACTAAATCCAAATTCGAAGACAGAAATGTCAAATTGGCTCAAAATTTTGAGATAAACTCAAAAAAATTTTTGGTTTTAAATCACTTTTTTGAGCAGTTTTTTGAGTTTATCTCAAAATTTTAATCCAATTTGACATTTCTGGCTTCGAATTCGGATTTAGCGGGAAAAAATGCATGGAAATATACTATCGTAGTGACATAAAAAAATTTTTTTTGTTTTTTTATTTTAACTAGTTTTTTTGAGTCGTTTTTTGAGTCGTTTTTTGAGTATAACTCAAAAACAAGAGCCAATCTGACTATTCCGACTTTGGATTCGGATTCAGCGGCAAAAAATACATTGGAATATACTACTTTAGTGTCTCGGTCACGCCACTTTTTTTTGTGTGTCTGTGTTTTTAAACAATTAATCGTAGGGTAACGGCACCAGTGAAAGAACATTTAAGGAAATGCATACTTTTATCATTTATTATTTTTGAATGCAGTTATTGAAAATTTTTTTACCAATTTTTTTTCTATAGCTAATTAAGTGTAGAATGCGAAGGTCATATTTAATTTTCATAAATATAAGATGTTAATTAAAATTTTAATTAATAAGTAAAACATACCTATTTCACCAGTGAAAGAACAAATTGTCTAATGAAAGAATTTTCTGCATCCAGTGAAAGAACAATGTGAAATATATATTTAAAATATATTTAAAAAATGTATTAAAACAAAGATAAAGTAATAAAATGTTTGTAATATACTAAAATAAAAGTAAATTAATGATAATTATGAATATTTTTTAACTATGTTTGCAGAATCTTATTTTTAATTGAAAATGCATTTATAACCTACAATCAATCATCTAGTTGCAATTTATTTTAACAATATTATTGTAACCTAACAGTGTTAACCTATTTGATTTTGTCATTTTTTTGTTTGACTTCAGACTATTCGTTGAAGGTGTTCCTTCATTGGATTGCATTGGAACCAGTAAAAAAACATTTCTGTTCTTTCACTAGTAAATAAAAAAAAAAAAAAACCCAATGACGGAATTTGCTTTTCTTATGGCAAATTAATATTTTATTAGCTTTTAAATGAAAAGAAGTATTTCTAATACACAAGATAAATTTAGTTTAAAGAAGACCGACGATTTAAGGCAGTTTAAATTAGTTAAATGTGAAAAAAGAAATAACGTGTCAGAGAAGAGTTCTTATTGTTGAAGATAAATTTGCAACACAACATTTTTAAAAAAAATTTTTTATAAAATTTACGTGTTAACTCTCTAGGTATCTTAGATACTAAAGACGTAAATTAAATAAGGAACATAAAAATATATAATTTATAATACCAAATTGCTTATTACACTAATTAGAATGCAAAACATGAAATTTGTTCTTTCACTGGTGTCAGTTCCTTCACTGGTGCCGTTACTCTACGAATTAAAAAAAAAATTATTTTCTCAAAAAATAAAATTTTTTAAAATGAACAAATATAAATTTTTAAACATTTTGATAACGTAAAACATTTTCAGTTCCTAAATAATAATGTTAGGAAAAAAATTGTTGAGTAATAATAACGAAAATTTAAATAGGATAAAATTTGAATTTTGTCCCTCTTCTTAAGAATATTCAATTTTTTTGTAATTATTTCTATAAAAAGATAAAACTTATGTAATTTTTTAGAGTGTTCTTTTTAATTTAAAAGAACAAATTTCTAAATCTTTTTAAATTAAAAAAGTAAACAGATACAAAAAAACGACTAATTTCATGAGTTTGATCGTTATACTAAATTTAACATAAATGATAATAACCCAAAAAAAATTAAAATTTTCCAAATGTAAACAAATGAATTAATAATGCAGATAAATTTGCTAATGGAAAAATCTAATGACGGATTATAATCTCTGGATTATTATTATATATATATATATAGGTATCTAATTAAATTAATTTTCGTTTATAAACTTATGAATTACATAGAGCGAAATACAATATAATTTGTTTTGTTGAAAAATTAGATAAATATATGAATAATGCGTGGAAAGCGAGAATATAATATATACCATTGAATGGAGCGAGTTGTAATAATCCAATAGCCATGTCTAATAGATAATTCTGTGCAATTATAACAAATGATACATGTCTCCCACGTGCACCATTAACCATATGACAAAACTATATAGATAAGATACAGTCCATTCGGGAAGACCATTTGCGTAGGTTTAAATACTCGATACACATGATTGTTTTTTCTTTTTTCATATATATAAAAAATTTTTAGACTCGAAAATATTTCTATACTAATAAGGAATAAAAGATTAAATTTTTGAAAAATTACCATAAATATATATATAAAAAGTTATGATGAAATTATTCCTCCTTTCAGTATTCAATTTTTAAATTTAGAATTTTTTTGCGAATTTAATTAAATTTTTCTGTCATTTAACACAGTGAAATAAATTAAGAAAAAATTATAATAAAATTAAAAAAATAAAAAATCGATGAGAAAATTAAATACTCTCATTATGCAAATAAATATATAAAAAAAAAGTTATTTTATATTTAGAGGAAAATTATTTTTTTCCTCTCAAAACATCCTCTCAAATGAAAAATATTAATTTTGATATACCAAATATAAGAGGAAAATATGAATTAGAGGAATCCTCTAGATTTAAGATTATTTTTTTAGGGTATATTTCAAAGATTAAACGCATAACGCAATATATATATATATATACTAGAGGGGCTACGCCCCCCTGCGTGCTTCGCGCGACAACCCCCCTGTTTTAATCATTTTTTTTTTAAATTTTCCATTGATCTTATTTTTCCAAATGAACCACCTATTTCAAAGAATTATTATTACAAATTCATTGAAATCTAAATAAATATTATTAAAATTAAAATTATTAAATTTTAATTAATAAATTAATTAAATTAATAATAAATAAATAATTAAATAAATTAAAATCGACATTAAGAAATTAATTTTAAAAATAATTTCAATGAAATTGCCTAAAAACCAATAAATTATTAAAAAGTCTTGAAACGAACATAACCTTTAAATTCAAGTCATTTTTAGGGGGAACCTTAAAATTTATGTCATTTTTGGCGGGAAATACAGAGAGAGATGAGGGAAGGGGGAAGGACTTACTGCTTTATTAGGGTCTTAAAACAAACATAACCTCAAAATTTAGGTCATTTTTGGCGGAGGAGGGGAAATGAGAGGAAGGGAGGGGGGACTTGCGGCTATATTCAGAGCCTTGAAACGAACATAATCTCAAAATTTAGGTCATTTCTGGTGGGGGAGGGGAGGGGACTTGCGGTTATATTCAGAGTCTTGAAACGAACATAACCTTAAAATTTAGGCCATTTTGGCGGAGGAGGGGAAATGAGAGGAGGGAGGGGGGACTTGCGGCTATATTCAGAGCCTTGCAACGAACATAACCTCAAAATTTAGGAGGGGGGGACTCCCCCCTCCTAGGTCAAGAGTTCTTGAAACAGCGGCGGCGGCGATATCTTTTTGTAATATAGGAAGATATAGGTGTGTGTGTGTGTGTGTGAAGACTTGCGTGGGTAGGAGACGATTTCACCGCACGGAGAGAAAAA